AGTTGAGTGACATGGGATCTATTCCCCTCCATGGAGAGGGACCAGCATGAGAAGCATGGTAGTCAGACAAAGTAGGGTTCAAATTCCAGCTTTACCATTTATTTGTAGTATGTCTTCAAAGCCTTTAAGAGCTAGTATGCACACAGGAACAGGGCTTCGCATATATTAAATACTCAAAAATGTTATGTAATTAATATTTTCACCTTGTAAGGTACTAATAATGTTATAACAATAGCATTAATAGTGATAATTATTATTGTGGATATAAATAATTGTTGTGCATGTAAAGCACTCTTCACATAATTAATACTCAGAAATGGTAGTTTCTGATTTTCTTCTCAGATCACTTATGCCCATTGATGAATTCTAGAGACATTACAGGTTTACTTCTATGGCAGAAGCTGGTCTAATAACTCAAAGCCAACTTTTTTTTTGGCAGGTGGGGGCAGATTTCTCTGTCTCTTCCAGGGCAAGCCATCATCCAGAAACAAGATAGAAATGGGAAGAAAAAAAAAAAAAAAGAAGAGCATGTCAGGTTAGACTTGGTTACAGCAAGAGTGGGAACAAGTCAGAAGAGACAGATGTGTTTAATGGCCAATGCACTTGTCCAAAGGAATCATTTTCACTGGCCAGGAGCCCAATTAAACCTGTAAAATGGAAATGCAGAAAATCAGATTAACGAGCCAGTCATTAGTGAGGAAAAGACCCAGCTAATTCTGTGTTTAGCATGACGGATGGGCCCAGAGCAAATAATTGGATGACATTCATCAAATGTAAAATAAAAGGCGTCACTGAAAGGGAGAGTGGTAATAATCTCTGGGATTTACAATGCCAGAAAATTTGCTTGTAAGGAAGAGAAAAGTTCATCAAAATAGATTAATAGTCACTAAACTTTATTCTTTCCTTGTGTGGTTGCCAGAGAGCCACACAAAGAGCAGAGAGGCAGCAAATGCACCGACCTGGTGCATTTATACCCCAACTTTGTGAGGGTTCTGTTCCCAAGGAGGGTGCTAATGCTTCTATTTGGAGGTAAGTTCCCTTGACCATCCAAAGACTGAGCAGGAATGGAGAATTCTCTACGTCTATGGTTTAGTTACTAAACACTGGAGGAAATCAAATTCAAAGTCTCTGTAGTTAAGTGGATTAGTCACAATTCATTATTCAATTAGTCAGTCAGTATTGACCCCTGCCTTGCGCTTAACATTTTGGGGATATGTTCATTCCCAATGAAGGGTCCAGGTTAGGCTAGGATCATATACTGGCTGTGACAATGAAGGACTGTGTGATGTTGGGCAAGTTAATTGACTTCTCTCAGCCTCAATTTCCTGACCTGTAAAGTAGCAGCACACTCTATATCTGTGTATATTTTACATATACATATGTACATAATAATACATATGCATATGAGGTATGGTTTATAAACTGCTTATCATAGGATCTTTCATGTACTAAGCTTTTGCTGCATGGTAGTTATTACTACTCTTTTATTATCTCATCTCTTCTAAGAAGACATTATTTGGAAGATGCAGTGTAAATAAAAGCATGACTGATTTTCTGGGAATATGAAGAAACAAAAACATATACACACATACCAGTTACAGAAACTTTTTTTAAATGTAAGATGTTGGAATTGAAGAAATGCATTGTTGTTACAGTGAGATGAGTAAGATGAATAGAGAAGTCATTTTAGTCACAGGAAGAGGAGTACAGGGTTATAACCAACTTGGCTGGGTCCAAATTTGTCTTATTGTGGGCAAGTCACTCTGTATCTTACAGCCTCTGTAGGATTGTCAGGAGGATTAAACTAGACAGTTTATATAAGAGCTACATGCAGTTCTGGAACATGGAAGATGAACTCAATTAATGACAGTGAGACCAGCTTGGCCTAGGAATCAGGAGGTTTTGAATTTATAATAAGACATGGAAGAATGATCACAGGAATGTGTGTACCATAAGAGTAAATGTTGAAAGTGCTGTAGAAATGGAAATGACTAAGTGCAGGAGTTGAGAGAAGGGAGAAATGGGTATGGATTTGTGGCATCCCAATGAACTCATGGGTCTTACACTGAGCTTTAGAGCATCAGTTGGATTTTGATAGTGCAGAGAGGGGCATGGCCAGGACAAGGGCAGAGGTGCAGGAGCCAGCTTGGTACTGCTGTGAGGTACTCTAATATCAGAGGCACCAGGAGAACATCTGGGCTCCTTGGGCTTCATGAAGTCCCTTAATAGTTTGGGTTATTACATGATGTATCTACAGTGTAATTTCCATCTTTATGATTTACTCAACTGCAAACTCTTCCAGGTGCTGTGTGTAAGCATGTGGGAGAGAGTCTGTGTATGTGCAGGGCTCTAATAGGCATGGCTAGGCCCATGGCTGGGCCCCGAGTAGGCAGGGCTGATCACCCTACCAAGGGGATCACGCTGTCCTCTTCCTCCTCCTCCTCCTCCTCCTCCTTCTTCTCCTTCTCCATCTGCTTCCTCTTCCTCTCTTCCTCCTTCTTCTCCTTTTCCCACTCCTTCTTCTCCTCCTTTATTAAATTTATTAAGGTGACATTGGTTATTAGAAAAATTATATAAGGTTCAAATATACAATGCTATGTCTTCATCTTCATCTGTATATTGTATTGTGTTCACTGCCCCAAGTCAAGCCTCTTTCCATTACCATTTGTCCCTCTGTATGGTCTTCTACCTCCCCCACTCCCTTTTCCCTCTGTCCTTCTTCAGCCTTCAGTGATTTGGTAACCTCAGTGTCCCCAGCCATGCTCTGTGGTGATAATAAGAGACCTGGGGGTACTGTGATCTTGTTCCTTAAGGAAGTGATTGGGCCTTCTTGGAAAATGCATCTTTTAGTTGCTGAACTCTGGCTAGCATTCAGAGATGAGACTTGTCCTCTCTGATCACAGTCTATTCACTAAGGTCAAGATTCAGAGCGTCCTATGGAGAACTGATTTTTAAGCATCTAAGTGACCAGGGGATATATTTTTGAGTTTACAAACTATCACTGGGTACAGGTTCTCCTTTGGGGGCGATGAAAACATTTTAGAACTGCTGAAGAGGTGATGTTTACACAAAATTGTGAATGTGTTAAATGCCACTGAAGTATGCACTTTAAAATTGTTAATTTTATGTTATATGAATTCCACCTCAATTAAAAAGAAGTTTATCATCATTGTAAATGTAAAATTCAGGAAACTACATGTGGGGGAGAGGCAGAGGTCAGGATCACTGAGGAACACGGTGGTACAGAGGTATATGTCAATTGTCATTAAAGTTCTAGTTCTGTGCTGCTCCAAATGTGGTCCCCAGACCAACAGCATCAGCATCTCTGGAAACTAATTAGAAAAGACAGTTTGTAGGCCCTACCCCAGACTGGTTGAATCAGAGACTCTGGGTGGAGCCTGGCAGCCTGAGTTTTAACAAGCATTCTGGGTGATTGTGATGCATGCTAAAGTTTTAAAACTGACCTAGGTTTGGGGTTGGCAGGTACATTTACATGTGTTGGTTTTATCATTAAAAATAAAACCAAATTAAACAAGCAAATAAGTAAATAAGGTCATGCAACGACTAATGGTGACTGTTAGGAACCAAGGGTTATATTTTAATCTGTGTCGATATATTTGAGATTTATTTAAAAGAGAAAAAAAGATTTCCCAGTAACTCATTGATCTTAATATGTCAACACCTTGCCTCTAAGCCAATGCAGAACAATATAGATTCAGAACAGATGTCTTATCAAAAAAAAAAATTCTTGGAATACAAGACAAAAATGATTCTAATTAGAAAATAGAGATGTAAGGATAACAGTGAACATCAGGGAGAAAACCAGCCTCTCCTCTTGGTTCACAGAAGAAGTCTTTGCACCAAGTTTTTGCAAGGTTCTGCCTTCCTGCTGACTGTAACATCTGCTCTACCTGGCAGCTTATGGTGCCTGATTTGTGGGCTTCCAATCTGTGTGGAGCCAGGGGGAGCCACGGGAGGTGCCATCTCTCAGAGAGGGGAGCCATGGGTGGATTTCAATAGAGATGTTAGACCCCTCCTGCTCTCAGCAGCCGCTGTGGATGGGCGCCAGCTTTGGACCCGAGGAGGAGGACTGGCTTGTCTCCAGCAAATGCTTGGGCCTAATGAGAATGGAACATGTGCCTCCAGCAATTGCCTCCTCAGCACAGCAGCCTGGTTGCTATTGTCATCTGACTATTTTCTCTGAACAGGCTATGTTGTCTTCTGTTGTGAATATTAATTTCCCCTGAGTTAGGACGATTGGGCCGAGAGCAGCCATCTGCAGAGCTGTGCCATGTTGGCAGGGCTTTTCACCAAGCCCAGGCCAGAGGACTGTTTCTTGGAGCGGTTTCCAGGTTGCTGTAAGAATCCACACTTTCCCAAGTGAGGTTACAGAGCCTAACCTGCCGTCCATGACAGCAGAACTGGAACTCAAACCCAGATTTCTGACTTTGAAATCCATAGTTCTACCTCTGACTTTTGATGCCTTTAAGTAAAACCCGAAATATCTGCTTAATGCATTAATTTTTAAATACAAAGAAAAAAAATGTGCTCAGATCAGAAGTAAAGTTAATTTCAAAGTAATGAGGACTTTAAGCAATAGTAATTATTCAGAGCAAGAAAAAAATTCCTTTGGCCATCACAACATGGTTGCAATGGATTAAAAATGGTTTAAAAAAAAAGAATAAGTAGATCATGGCTACAGCCCACCTTGATAGCTTTTCTGTTTTTAGTTGAAAGTATTTATTAGGTGTGTACATATGCAGGGCATAGCAATCAAATACAGAGTCCCTGCTCTCACAGAAAGTGCCAGCCATGGGGAAAGACTGTTGTCATTGCCCACTTATCCTCTATGTGCCATAACATGTGAGCAGCTCAGGATGCTATGGCACTGGAGGTTCAAAGCCAGCAAGGGATATTCTCTAAAAGGTTGTCACAAACCTATAGTGGCTATTCATGATCCATGGCCCCATCTGACGTCTTTGTGTTTCTTCATGACCCAGGTAACCACGGGTGGCAGAGCCAGCTACTACGTGTCCTATCGAAGAGAGGCCTTCGCTCAGATAAAGCTGCCCAAGTACTCTCTGCCAAAGGTATGCACCGCCTGCTGTCCCGGTCCTGCCAGACAAAGCGGCAGAGAGAAGCTGCCCTGTTAGGCAGTGGGAGGTTTCATTCCTGCCTGGGAGACAGCTGGTGTTCAGCCTGACTTACCACTGCAGGGTTTGGCCTCTGCTGATGTCGCTGAACCCGGGTTCTGTGTTCCCCTCTCAGCAGGGTACACAGGCAGGAACTTTAATTTGCCATGACTCAAACATCCTGCACAACCTTAGGTCATTCCCCAGGAGTGGTCGTGGAAGGGGCACTAGCTTTGGAATCTCTGATGAGGAGATCCCTTCCTTTTGTAAGGGCCTTATGTCCCAACAGAGGGATGGGTTCAGAATGGCCCAGGCAGGAGTGCAGACGTTGTAAGTGTGTGTGCATAAAGGTGCACAGGTGAGCCTCCTGCTGTTCTCACTTCTCCCTATGTTTTAATGCTAAATATAAATGCACTGCCTATGCTTCCACTCCCTTGTATCACTATGAGTAATGAGAAAGGAATAATTTAATACAATTTTAATATCAAATGATGGCATGTTAACTCCTCTTTTGAAAAATTATAAACTTTATGGACCCCATTTCCTGGGAACAATAAGTTTTTGGGAGAAGGTAGATTTTAGAACCTTAGTGTGAACATGGACAAGACATCACTGCATCACCTAATAAGGCTGCAAGGAAGCAAAGTCTCAGGCTGCTTACATAACAAATGTAATGTTACAAAGAGCTGGGTCTCTAAGCTGGTACTAGGAAACATATTATGAAAGGCTACGTGTGTATAGAGGTAGAGGTAGGAGGGATTATGAGAAAAGAGGGTGGGTAATTGTTTACCCTCTGTTTTTATGCGTTCATTTATTCATGTATGCATATATCAGTTCATTCATTCATTTATTCCTTCTTTCATTCATCCATTGAACTATTCTTTCTAACATTCAAGTTTTTACTTTGCCAGGCACTGAACTAAGTTCTGTGAGTATAAGGGTGAATAAGACACAACAAACCCTTCCTTCACGGAGCTTATATTCTGGTAGAGAAGAGAGATACTGAACAACCAATTGGAGGTGTAGCAGGAATAATAGATATAGAAGCTCAAGGGTCATCATGACATAAGAGTTGGGATACATAAATATGAGTAATGAGGGCAAGAGTCCTAAAGAAAGTGATGTTTAAGCTGATAAAAAAGTGAATTGACTATGCAAACAGGTGTTGGGGAAGCCAACAGAAAATACATACACAAGCCCTATTTTAAGAGAGAGTATGGTTCATCTAACAAACTAAAAACTGTGTTGAGTAACTGGATTTCAGAGATAGGTGAAGAGGCTGATGAGGTGGCTAGGGGCTGTATTAAATAGCCTCAGAGGTCATGGGAATCAATTTTTCATTTTCTCTATCCTCTCTGTGAGTGGCTTTTATAGGACTACTGAATAGTATTGTGGTTGCAGGATGTAACCATCAGATTTTTTAAACCCAAGAAGGACAGAGGTATTCCTGCCTGGAGAAGGTGAGGAAAGGGATGCTCTTAATCATGCTCTTTCTAAAGGACAATGCCCACTGATGATTTCAATGTGTTGGCCTAGGAAAAGAGTTTCAGAAACTTTCCAAACCATCTTTCTAATGTAGGGTCTGGCCTGTGCATGTGTGCATATTTTATGTATATTTTAACCTTCTCAGAAAAACAAGCAGTTGCCTTCCCTGGACAGTGTGGTTGCAGGTAGGGACAAATGAAGCCCAGAACTGATCACAACCCTAGAACACTCCATTAACAATTAGCAAGTCATGGCCATTTATTGTGGTGGAATACCATCCGCACGGCCCCTTTTATAGAACTTCATCCAGAGCAGCTTCTCATTAATATGAGGGCTGCTGTGAAAATAGCTGCATGGTTATTGATTCCCCATTATTAGCTGACATTGGCTCAAATTTTCATGGGAGGTGAAGACAGAGGGGGTAGAGGGAGATTGGTTCTTCTCATTTTTAAAAAGGGAAATGGCTTTTAAGCAAGTTGCTGCTGGGCATCTCACTTAAAAACAGAAACAAAGAAGCTCCCTATCACCACTGCCCTCATACCTCTATTCCCAGCCTATCTGTTCAGAATTTGCTCACCTGGGGCACCCATGGATTTGGAGTGTTTTGCAGAGAACAAAATAATGTTAATAATATGCAGCAGTACTAGGAGCAGCAACCTCATGCCCAGTCCTCCAAACCCAGTCCTTAGGCATCAGGTTGGCATCTCAGTCCAATAGTCATGAGAAGCTCAACAAAGGGTGGGGAAGATGATGAAGGGGAGCCATGCTAGCCTCGGGAAAAGGCAACAGAGGGTATGAGCAGAAATCCTGAGCTCTCATTACAGCCCTGCCATGTCCTTATCCACGAGCCCAGGTCTCCTCATCTGTGAAATGAGCATCATCATACTATTTGACAAAGTTGTGAGGATTCAACCAATGGCTCATTGTTTGAATGAAAAGTGCTGGACAAGTCTAAGCAATGATTGTGATCTAAGGGGAAATATGGTAGACGCTCTTAACCTGCTGGCCATGGAGATTTGTGCTCCTCGTGGGGTCACATCCCAGCCTGCCCTTGGACTCAGTATTGCCCGAGTCCCTTGCTTTACTGCTCTGACTCTTAATACACCCTCTTTTGTCTCGTAGATTCTGGATTTATTCTTAACTTGCTACTCTACTAGTCATTTGTGCAAGAGACAATTTTGATTTTATGTTTGTTTGTATGTGGGACTCAATTTGTTAGTGAGGTTGTTGAACTTTACCTGAGTCCTGTGCTGCAGGAAAGCGGCAATATGTAAGAAATCTCCCTCATCCTTTGTGTTTCTGGACGTGGCTTAATACAAAGAATTCCCCTTCCCCATTGTCTTGATAAGACGCCCACATCCCCCATCTGTACCTTTGACCACACCAGATTCCCATCCTTGGTCACATAAATGATTAGCTGAACTGCTTGTCCCTACTGGTCAAGCTGTACCAAACACTTGCTAATTTGACTTTACCAGCTTTTGTTCAGCTTTTCTTCTTCCCTCAGCCCCTGAACTTTGACCCACTCTTGAGCATATGAAAGCACCAGGAGCTCAGGTGAACATTGCAACTCAGAACAACCCCTTTTAACAGCCCTTCTGAGAATCACTGACTCTCAGGAGAATAATTTCCTGTCTAATTGTGGGATCATGCCACCTGCTCACTCCACCCCTCACATCCAATTCTTTGTAGCTTTGTTGTACTTCTCCCTGTAAAAGTAATTCTTTCCTGCCTTCACTCTGAGGTGCTTGCAGATTATGATGATAGCGTTGCGATAGTTTTTTCAAATAAAGTCTCTCTTTATCTCTCTGGGTTTGTTTTCATTTGACAGTTGAATACAGTTAATCCTGTTTTTAATAATAAGAGAGAAGAGAGGAAAATATGGTTTAGAATATTATAATGACAATGGCAATGATATTAACCTTTTGCTTAATTTCCTCAGGAAAATTTTCTTAATTTTTACATTTCCCCAAATACTGATTTGTCCTTCCTTGCTGTACCACAGCCACACTTCTTAAAGAGTTATCTGTAATTCTAACCCCTTTTCTCACTTGCTAGTCACTCTACAATCCACTGCCATTGCCCTGGACTCTGCCACATCCATCCCACTATTCCACTAAAAATCTAGCCATTGTTATCAGTGACTTCCCACGTGTCCAATAAACATCTCTAGCTCTTTATCTCTTTATACCTCTCTGTAGCATCTCACACTGTCGGGAGAAAAAAATCCATACTTGATCATCTTCCCTTTGGTCGTATTTACTTTTGATTTTCTTTCCTGGATCCCCTTACCATTGCCAGACTTTAAGTGTTGATGTTTTACATTCTTTTTGCATTCTGCATGGTTCCTGCATGGCCTCATTGGTTTTCTTCATGTTGATGATTCCTATGTCCACAGCCCCAGTGCGTACCTCTCCAATGAACTCTAGACTGTATCTACAACTGCTTATTCAAAGTACATCTCCTTAACGGATCCATTTAACAACTCCAGAGCTGAGCTCAGAGTCTCTGCCTTATATCCCTTATATCTATTTCTTCTCCCATGGTTACTCTGTTTATTCATTCCATAAGATTTTTTTAGATGTCTGCCATGTGCAAGATGCTCTGATAAGTACTAGAAATAAAGTGATAAATAAGAGAGGCATAGTTTTTTGCCCTCTTAGAGTTTACAGTCTAATGAGACTGACATCAAACAAATTATTGCACAAATGAATATTTAATTTTTATTTTAATGACTACTCTAAAAACAGAGAATTTTGTAAGTCAGATATCTGAGATATTAAAGACATGTCCTTCTCCATTACCCCTTGTAGAATCTATCTCCTTAATATTTCACTGATGCATTTCTTAGGGTTCTTACAGAAAACCTGCTCCTTAGTTTGGCCCTCATGTGTTTGCAGTGACCCAGATTGTTGCAATGGCCTTTTAAATCTTTTGCCCTGCCCCACTTAAATCCACTCTTTATACTGCTTCCAGAAAGTGATCATGCAATGAAGCTAATCTTCACCAACTCAATCTCTGCATTGATTAACTCTAGTCATTTCTTTTTCTCCCAACTAAACACTTGTGGTAGCTTTGCACTTCCTTCTGGGTAAATTTCAGTTTGCCATACAGAATCCCTTGTGATGTGGCCACTCTAACCTCACTGTCCCCAGAATAAAACTGCTTATAAGCTGTTCCAAATTCTATGCATTTTCTTGAGTGCTCCACCCTTCCTCTCACCTGTGTAAGACTTTCCACTGTTATTGTCATTTTCAGTACCTCGGGGTAGCACTTACAGGCTCACAGAAGGCCGCAAGAGCATGTGATGTCTCCACCACTGGGTGGGCATCTTCCTGAGGCTAGGTCCTCTATTTGTTTCTCTCTGTATTTATATTATAGTGTTTGGCACATGGTGTGTTCTTAATAATGTAGGTCTTTTCTGTAATGAAGTTACTTTAGGCCCAGATTACAAGAAAATGTTTCAGTAACAGGGAAGTATTTTCACTATCTTCTCCTAGGAAGTCCCAGGTTTAGGTTTTCAAAAAGCAACTCTCATTCTCTCTGGTTACTCTCTTGGGAAGGTACAGGGGGACTGTTATTTATAAGTGTTACAGTATAAAGGTGACACATGCTTTGGAATTAGATTAGGGTAGCAGAATTCAAGAAATAAGCTTTAATATCCTTCAGGTCCCTATTAGACCAAACCTAACTGGCAAGGCTCTTCTTTGTTCTTGAAGACTTATTATCCAGGTTGTTGTTGGTTGATCCTTATTCAACCGTAAGACTTATTAGGAGAGAGGACACACTGTTCAGAGTTTATCCAGGAGTGATTCCCCAGGTTGCATGCACTAGAATCATTTGGGGGGCTTATTTAGATGGTAGAACCTAAGACTCTTCACCAGACATACGGAATCAGAACCTCAGGCACTGGCACTCCTGAATCTTCATGCTGTTAAGATCTCCAGGACATTTTGATGCACAATGAAGTTATACTCCTACTGATATGGAGCTTAGCTTCTTGATTATGGTAGTCCTGAGTTTAAATCTTAGTAGTGTTATTTATTAGCTAAGTGATTTTGGCCAATTAATGATTTCTCAGGTAGATGTTCCTGAATCCTAGATACTGGAAAGCAATCTTTCACTCCAGATCCTTCAGTAACCTGTTCACCAGGTAACACAGCCCCAGTGCAGAGCTAAGGTAAAATGCACTCACAGCAAATCTGGCTGCCTCTAATCCTGTCCATGCCCCAGTGTTTTAAGTTATTTTTTTTTTTTCACTTCTTTTACATTAGTTTGGTCTAAAATAACTTAGCTCATTCATTTTTATGACCAAAACATCTGGGAAAAGCCAGGCATTTCTATAACATTTTTAACAGGGTAAGTGAATTTAATCCGTATTTCCTGCAGCTGCTATTTTCCCTCCTACTGGGTTCTTGAGCTTTTATTCCACACCAACACAACACGATGTCATCACATGGTTTTTAAGAGTAAGCCTTATTTTCATTTTCAAGCAGCTCAGCAGGAACCTGTAAGGTGTGTAAGCACAAATGAGCAAGCGAGGCCTTAGTCAAGGTGACCTTGGGTGTTTAAGGCCAGAGACTGGGACGTGACCAAAACTCTCCAATGCAAAGATTTAGAACTTGCTTTCTCACTTACCCCACCTCCCAGTTGTCCAAATCAAATGACCTTGCTCCTTTTGAAATCATCTTGGCAGAGCTCTCCATAGTTCCGATATTATAGACATTATGGCCTCCTTTTATTGTTGAAACCATTTCTGGGAAGGGTTGGCCAAATAAGGTAAGAGTTAGATTCAGCCTGATTATCTACTTACTGTCAACTCTAATTGCCTGTGCTCTTACTACCAGTGCTTTCCAACACAGGGACTAGGGGAACTCTGCTGCTCTCTCAAGATGCTATTATTTTTTTGGCATATACATCTATATAGTTATGCATTTTTAACTACTCCCATTTTTTCAAATGTTTCTCCTTGTCAACATTGCCTCCTGATAGTGTAAGCTCCTTAAGTGAGGACTTGAGTTTATGATAATCTTTGTACAATGGCTAGCCACGCATGCACATTGGTTTTTATAAATTGTTTTGATTTCTGAACTGGTAGATTTGATATTAAAAATGATCCACTCCAGGAATGCAAACTAAAGTGACTTCAGGGACCAGGGAGTGGCAGATGATAGAAAATTTGGATGTATAGGATTGGGACTGCAATGATTCCACCTAATGCAAAAAGACTGTGGTCAAACCAAACACTTGTGATTTATATTTATTTCAAGGGTCATTGGTTTGCAACTTCTAATCTAGAGACTATATATCCAAATGGTTAGAAGCTGCCAATTAGTTTAGAGTCATACTACTGATATTCAAGGCATGGTTCTGCTACTTATTAGCTATGTAATCTGAAGCAAGTGTGTAAATCTCTATTTCCTTAATTTAGCCCTCAATGAATATACCAACTCCATTACAGAATTATTTGACTTTCTTGAAACAATACATTAAAATAACTTAGAACATTGCCTAAATGTTAGCTATTTTTTTTTTGGTAGCCCATCCTCTTCACTATTTTGGTAAGAAACTTGAAGCTCAAGGGGACTGATACATTTAACAGTCCTAAAGCAGAGCTTACATTATGACCCGGAACACTAAATTCCCAGCTGAGTATCTTTTCCTCTATATCACTGATTTTCAAATATCTTATTAACAGCAGCCCCTCATCTTTTACTTTTAAAATATTATCGAGAAGTCTAGTATAAAGCAGATTGGAGTGGTTCTGCTCTGGTTGAAACAGGCTTGGAAGTCCAGAGCCCCACCCATTGACCATCCCTCCCTTCTTGCAATTCCCATGACTCTGAAGATTTCAAAGAAAAGTATGAAAACCATTACACTGAAAAGTTTGAAAACATAAATGAAGATCTAAAAAAGGGACAAAGCTTGTCTTCTTGGCATGTGTACATTTTCTCTTGCAAAGCTGTATGTCTCTGTTAGCACTAACACTACATTTCAGATATAAAAATAAAAAATGGAAGTGGATGAATCCCTCGAAGCCATGGAAAATGATACCCACCAAAGCCCCTTATACCCATCTTTCTGTCGCTAGCAAAGAACAGAAATCATGAAGCCCATAATTTATAGCCTTGGTCCGACACAGAATTGTTTAACATTGCCTATAAATCAAGCTTTTTCTCAACCATTTTATAAGTCATGGTAATTATTCTGGGTCCCAGTGGGCAGGGAGATAAAGGGATCTGCTGCCTTACAGGCCTTCCATCTTCCTACAGGACATGCACATTATCAGTACCGATGAGAACCAAGTGTTTGCAGCGGTCCAGGAATGGAACCAGAATGATACATACAACCTGTACATCTCAGACACGCGTGGGATCTACTTCACCCTGGCCATGGAGAACATTAAGAGCAGCCGCGGTCTAATGGGAAACATCATTATTGAATTGTATGAGGTATGTAGTCAAGTTCGTCCAACATGTGGATCTGCCCCTTTTTTCATGAGTTTTAATGGTATAAACACAAGCGTGGGAGTCACAAAGTCCTGGGTCAGATCTCAGCTGTGCCACTTAGCACTTATGTCCCTTGGGCAAGGGTCTTAACTTCTCTTGGCCTCAATTCTCTCATCTGTACAATCGAGGCAAACTATTTATCTAATTAGATTATTGTGAGAACAAGAGATAATATTTGTGAAGCATCCAGTGTGGTGGTTGGCTTAGTAAGCCTTCAACAAATAGCATCCAAAGTTGGTGTGAGCATAATTACAGATCAGAAATTAAGGTAATTGGCCTTTGTGATCTTTTATGCACATTTTTAAATTTTGTACTTGTTGCTGACTCTACGTAAAGGAAGTAGTGTTATTTATATGCCTTAAATTATTTGTAAAATCCAAATAATTTAATTTTGTGGAGATCATACTTGGATGTATGGTTTATAAAAGTTTTATGAACAAATTTTTTGGGAAAATACAAGCAAACATCAGTGATTAGTGTTTAAGATTTCCCTAAAATGGTGTCAAATGCCAGTATCTGGGCATGAAGAAGTGGGCCTGGTTTACACTGAGTTTTCCTTTTTCTTTTTAAAATATAATTACCTTTCTTGAGCTTGCACTTACATATTTTCTCAATAATGGGATTGCTATTTAAAGGATAGTTTATCTAGGAAACCAAGTGACTCCATATAGGAACTATATTAAAAAACTAGTTGTCTCAGTGACCCTAATGAGGTAGTGCTTTCTTATACCTTTAGTGACAAGTGTATTTTCTTAGCTATAGTGAATTACATGATTGAGCCCCTTGGCATGATGGATGGATTGACTTGAGCAAAGAAAGTGCGTCTCATTATTTAACATTCACTAGTGCCTGATGGTCAAACTCACATAGGCTGTGCTGTTTGAAGTCATTTGTTCATGCAAGGATGAGTTGTGCATTATGGGTGGTAGCCTCAGATGGTTTGGCTGATCTGCTCCCTTGTGAGTTTTTCTTTTAGAGAACTTGGGTAGCTTTCAGGGCAGAAGGGTCAGTGCATGGGCTTCTGCTTTACAGTGGTCTTCTCTGAGCAGCACCTGTTAAAGATCCAGCATCTCTATACTGGTGTCTAAGTTGGCTGCTCAGTTATTGGTATTGATGGAAACATACCAAAATTCTGTTATTTTATCAGGGGAAAGAGAAAGTTACACAAAGATAAGGTGAATGGAAGTATATTTTAAAAAGGAGAGAAGTGAATGTCATTCATCATAAATAAAATTGGTAGAAATATCCTGATTTCCTAAAGCAGTAGTTTACAAGTGATAAAATAATTCCCTTAGCAACAATGTTTATCTGGAAAATTGCCCAGATGTCTTCCTAGAATTATAAAAATTGGTAAAGATGACTAAAGAATATATGAAGGGGGACCCAATAAAACCAGAATTATCTTCTGGAGGGCGAGCCCCTTGTGATACAGGGTTCCCCAGCTAGGTGAGTGTTCTAAGAACCCATCAGCATTCGTGTGCCAGCTGGTGGTATTGTGAGAGGCTGTGTTCAGCTTCAGATAATTTTTTTGAAGGCCCCTTCACTTGGTGGGAATTCAGACTGGTGCAGCCGCTGTGGAAAGCAGTACGGAATTTCCCCAAAAAACTAAAAATGAAACCGCCTTTTGACCTAGTGATTCCACTGCTGGGAATATACCCTAGGAATCCAGAAACATCAATTCAAAAGAACTTATACACCCCTATGTTCAGACCAGAACTATTTACAATAGCCAAGTGCTAGAAAGAGCCTAAGTGCCCATCAGTAAATGAGTGGATCAAAAAAAATGTAGTACATTTACACAATGGAATACTATGCAACAGAAACAAAGAAGGGACTCCTATCTTTTGCAACAGCATGGACAGACTTGGAGAATATTATGCTAAACAAAATATGCTAGTCGATGAAAGACAAATATCATATGATCTCACATATAAGAGGAACCTAATGAACAAAAATAAACTAACGAGCAAAATAGAATCAGAGGCATGGAAACATGGAACAGACTGACAGCAATCAAAGGGGAGGGGTCTAAGGGTGACAAGAAGGGGAAGGGACTAGTCAAAGAACATGTATGAATGACCCATGGACATGGACAACAGTGTGGGGATTGACTGTGGGAGCAGGGGGAGGAGGTGGGTGGGGAAGGGCAAAGGGGGATACATGGGCCAACAGTAATAGAATAACAATAAAAGTTTTTTTAAAGAAAAGAAAAAAAAAAGACTTGTCCAATGCACTTGCCTGATGGGTGACTTATGAGTGCACCTGCCCATACCATGCTGAGTGTTCAGCAGATTTTGACCAAAAATGGCATGACCCCAATCTCCCACCCTCCCTATTCACCACATCTTGCCCAGAGCAACTTCTTTTTTGTTCCCCTGGATAAAAAAGTGTCCTCCAAGGGGAACATTTTGCCAATGTGGAAGAGGTGAAACAAAAAGCGGTAGAAGCACTAAAAGGCATCAAAATCGACAAGTTCAACAACCTGTTTTGAGCAGTGGAGAACCATCTCCATAGGTGCACTGCATCAAAGGGAAAGTACTTTGAAGATGACTAAAGTTTAAACATGTAAGAGTATACTTTTTTTATTTAAAAAATTCTGGGTTTTTTGTGTACCCCTTGTAACTGGCTTTGGAAAGGTTCCATTTCCATGCCTCTAATCATACCAGGAGGAAGAATATACCTTTGTTATTCAAGAGTAAGTCACTGCTTGTGGGAAGGTTTGGATTCATGTTCAGAGGACTGAGGACTCTCCAGTCAAATCTCTCTCTGTACAAGTGAGACTATAAGGATAAAATAATTATCCATGCTCCTGTGGCCAGATCCAAGCGGAGAGTAGACATTGCTGCAGATGATCTTTCCGCTGAGAATTCCCTGAATCCCTGACCCTATTGATGATGGTGAATGAGATTGCCACTGTGCTGTTTCTTTCCTAAGGGAGCTTGAAACTCCTTGGCTATTTAGAAAAGTGAGACAATATGATCTGAAATGAAACATGAATCAAAATGAAGAATGTAGTTTTTCCCTTCTTGTTGAAGTCACTCTTGCATTTTTGGTCTTATCAGGTGAAAAATGCATGGTGCCATTGCATCTACAGAAAACCAAGGAGTATCAAGCAAGGCAACTTCTCTAAAATCAGCCCTACTGAGCTGTTTCTCCATTGAGTTTTATCATGGTTTATTGTGCCTCTACTTTGTGTTCAAGTCCGTGAGGAAGACAGGAAAGATTATGGCTCTTACCTTCAGGGAGGTTGAATCTAGTTAGTTTGGCTTTGAAGACACAACAAAAAAATTTCCTTTTTACCTGCCTAAGTTTAGAACTAACTGAGACAGAGATAGAGGGGAGAAAAATGGAGATTAAACATCAGCTGTATTGCTTTTTTAAAAGTTGTGTAGGAGGAACTGGGCTTGCTAATACTGCACTCCAGAATTATACCCATCCATCCAGTAACAGGCAGAAACAGTAAATTAAAAGATCTGTGAAGCCTGTCTCAATAACACCATCACACGGAGGTATAAAAGATGTGATCTTTGCAGGCAAATTCCCAGTTATTTTTCTCAGCATTACCAATCATCATATCCTTTACCCTGGGGCAGAAGAAGTGAAGAAGTTGGAAGACATTCCATATGTCAAGAGTAACATGAGCCAAGAATTGGATGGAGGGTGTATATTTGTAAGTTTGTGAGCTAGCCAGTCTCATTGAATAGAATAGATGCTTGTCAGGCACAAAAATGAGTAGTGAATAAATGTTTGAAGTTCAAATTCTAGAAGGCTTTTAATACTAAGGGAATAAATTGGATCCTCACACTATCTAGACCATGAAAAACATATTGAAGGTTTTTAGAGGGCAGTGCTGTTTTACACCTGGAGATAACATTCTGTGATTTGGAGACAAAGCTCAATTTAATTGGCCTCTGGGGGTCATTAGACTTTAACCTTCTTCGCTGGAGATTCTCATAGAAACTGAGATTGTGTACCATATGGCCAGTTAGCAAAGAGACTATAATTTCTCTGGTCTCTGAATGCCCTTGAGTAATGCATCTGGGAAAACCAGTAAGCTTTCACATTAAATTCAGTGAAATTAACACACTTTTATGGAGTGTATTCTGTTTGATGAAATGAGAAAAGATATAAGTGACTTTATTAGGGTAGTCAGCAACACAGTCTTTTATTAAAGTTATGATTTCCCATGTTGTGGGATCATTAAAAGAGAAGGTTAATCCTATCTTGAGAAATTTTGGGAGACTTACAGATGCATTGGCTTGAAGAAGGAATGCTGGCACTGGAAGGAAAGACATGCTTGGGGGAGTCCCAGCATGAGAAGGAAACCAGGGTCTGATCCTTGTCTGAAATGTCAAAAATGCCTTTAGGAATCTCAGATGTGAGGTGGCTTGGACTAACCATGGCCACGTAAAGCTACCAGTGTATCACTCCATCTTCCACAGTGGCCTCTCAAGCCTCTCCCTAATAATGGAAAGGGATGAAGAAAGCAAACACTTATTTGAGACTTCATTTTGCAGGTTGTGGCTGCTGACAGACCTTGGAAACCAACGGGGATCAACCCCGCTAAATTCAGTAACACCTACCAAGGCAAAGATGTCAATATTTCTTGGTCTATTGGAGCAGTCTGCTGCTCTGCAGAGTCTCTTGCTCTCTTTAATTCCTGCTTCAAAGTACAATATTGTCATAGATGTAATTACATAATCAGGGGGAAAAATAATTTTTGAAGGCCAAATAATAATCTCTTCTTTAAGGGCTCAGGGTCCATTCTATCAAAACAAGGCTGGTGTTGACCATAAATGTAGTCCAATTATATGCGCTCTTATGTACTTATGTACTTAATAAGAATACGTACTTATTCTTATGACACTGTTTTCATATAGAGGAGTTGTCTCTTTACATCCCTAACTATAAACTATATTTCTTCTTAGTTGCTCTCCACTGATAAATCAAGAAACACATATTCTTTTCAATATCCTCAGTTATATTATAGAAATATGCTCTGAGCTGCCCGTCTGATGGATTTTTTTCAATACTTTCCTGAATATTAAGCATCCAACTTGTAACTCCTTATAATAACAACAACAGCATACCAGGCAATGCCTCAGACTGGCATTATTGAATAAATATGTAATGTGAGCTACACATGCACTTTTAAATTTTTGACTACTCACATTAAAAAATGTAAAATGAAACAGGTAAAATGAATTATAGTGATATATTTTATTTAACAAAAATATCCAAGGTATTATCATCTCAGTCTATGTTCATTTTGAAAAGCTGCTGACATACTTTATATTTTTCGACACTAAGTCTACAAAATCCTGGCTGTATTTTATACTTCCCATACATCTCAATTCATATGCTAAATTTTCATTAGAAATCCTTGATCAGTGTCTACATTTCATAAGATTTGCTGTAGAAAAAAAGTAGACTTACACACCCAAAATTACTCCAAACATACCTAAAGGTTTACCAATGACAAAATCTGTCATCAATGTTTAAATTGGTTAAAATTAAATAAAATTATAAATAAGTTTCTTGGTTCCACTGGCCCCATTTCAAGTGCTCTACAGCCGTTTGTGGCTAGTGGCTATGGTATTGAGTAGCACAAACTGAACAGCTTATATACTTTTTTTCATTTGTCTATCTCAATATCCCTTTGTGGTGGGTGTCATTCCCCATTGTGCCTATGAGAGTACAGAGATGCAGAGAATTTAGTAACGTGGCTCAGACCACACAGCTAGTAAGTGCTGGCACTCCAACTGAACAAACCCATGTTTATTTATTTAGAAATAATGGGATCTCTCCACTATATATTTTTTATGTATTGTTTTTTATGGAGGTAAAATTTTATACAGTAAAATTGATCCTTTATGGTATATAGTCCTGTAAGTTATGACAAGGGTGTACAGTTGCATAACTACCACCACAGGTAAAATATGGAACAGCTCCATTACTCCCAAATATTCTCCCTTTTGGCCTTTTTGTAACTCTCCCACCCAAAGTCACCGGCAAACACTGGTCTGATTTCTCTGTTTCTCCAGTTTTGCCTTTTCTATAGTGTCATATGAATGGAAATAGACAGTAGGTATTCTTTTGAGCCTGGCATTTCTCACTTAGAATGATGCATTTGAGATTCATCCATATTGTTTAGTATCCTTTTTATTGCGAAATAATATTCCATTGTTTGGATGTATCACAATTTGTTTATTCTTTTATCAGTTTGAGGGCATTTAAGTTATTTCCACATGTGAGTGATTATGAATAAAACTTTTATAAATGATCACCTGAACGTAAGTTTTTATTTCTCATGGGTAAATACCTAGGAGTAGCATTGATGGGTTGAATGTGAGTATATATTTATAAAAAGCCACCAAACTATTTCTAAAGTGGCAGGATCATTTTGCATTGCTGCCAGAGATGTTTGAGCATTCCAGTTGCTTCATGTCTTCACCAACACTCGGGTGTTATCAGTTGTGCATTCATGTGTGTGTTTGCGTGTATATTTAGCTATTCCGAAAGAAGCATAAGGTTACCTCATTGTGGGGTTAATTTGAAATTTCTCATGACTCATTATGCTGGATGGATGAAATGCAACTCTCTGAGGTGTCCTCAGAGTTCTGATCTCTTTGACCATCTTAACTAATGTTTCCTTGTCCCTAGTGGTTGCCTTCCACCCTCTGTTTTATCATGATCTTAGGTGACCCTTTTTTGGCCAGATGGACAATTGCTTATAGCCTCCAAGGGACATTTTTTCCATACTGACCTTCATTGGATTCTCACCACAGGTTTGACTCTAGGGACAGCCCATGGCAGACTGTGGTAATTGCTTTTCTCAGCAGAGCCCTGGTTTTTTTGTCCTCAGGGCCCAGGGAGGTGAGTGACAGATGACCATGCCACCTGGACTGAGTGCTCTGCCAAGGGGCCACTGTCAGTTTCCCTTTGCAGTTCAAATTGACTCTCGGAAAGTGGGCCATGCAGTCCTGATACTTTGTGCAACCCTCTTCCAGGGGGCCACCACAAGCTGGTGCTTTTCTCCTTGAACTGCTGGAGCCAACAGCAACAGCAAGGCCTCTGATTTCCAACAACGGTGGGAGGAAACATGTTTAAGGCATATAGCAGCTACCCCCTTGGGTGGAGCAGAATTAAAGTTGTGTCTCATTATCTAATCCCTTTACATTGAATATAGTGAGAGTAAGTCATGGTTCGTGATAGGTATGTACCTACATATGTCCACATATACATGCTTATATGGGTATGAGTCTACTAGGGTGCATCATAAATGTATTTTATTTTTGGGTTGCATTAAAAAATTTTGAAAGCTATTGGCCTAAAGTACACAAAAGTAAAGTGACTTCTAAACATATAGTCCATTTTTTTTAAGATAGGGAGCTAAGAAGCAGTTCAGTAATAACGTAAGGGCTTTGACCAATCCAAATACAAAGGGAAAGCGCTCCAGTTCTCTCAGACAAGAGGAAGGTTGCTGTGGCATTATGTGCAGCTGCAGGAGAAAGGCCTGCAGAGCTACAGATGGGCTTCCTGAGCTCTAAAAGCCTCCTTCCCATGCTTTTGCAGTCTCCATTCTCCTGGTTTTGCTCTCAGGATATGGGCGACACAAATCCTGGACAGAAAATTCCCATCCAAGTGGGAAAGCTCTCAGTGGGAAATTATGGTTGGGACCATTCCATATTTGCCAAACATGCTCACCCAGAAGAACACAAGAGGCGCTGCATGGCTAGTAATTCATGCTGCAATGCATTGCACTGGAGGCAGGGGAGATGGGGACAGCGCCCCCACAGGAGCAGCCTCAGGAGTCGGAGTCTGACTCTGTGTTTTCTTCTGGGAAGTGGACAGCAAGGCCCTGGGCACATGCTGGAGGTGGGCTAGCTGGCTAAGGGGAGAGAGTTCTTGGAGTCATTATCTGGTGGTCCTAAGAAAATACCAGAAGGTGAAAGGTTCTAAAGAAACACAGACTGCATTCTCTGTGAGGAATAATTGGCAATTAAGTTTAATAAAAACAACTTTGCAGTTGGTTTTAAAGCCCCAGGTGATCTGAGGGCCTTGTGGCTCCTAGATGAGCATATGAGATGCCAGCCTTCCTGAAATGGCACTGACTAAGCAGCTAGGGCAGTGAGGACACCTCTGGGGAAGGGCATAACTCCGACCCCACCGCAGCTTGGCTCCTCTCTTTACCCACCCTCTGGTCAAGTTGGGAATCTAATCAATTCATTTCTTGGCCTCTTGTCAAATTCCCCTGGTGGTGTCCTTCCCAGATAATTCTCTTTTCTTTCTGATATCCTTTGTCCATTTTTTCTTTGTTTTTATTTGGGTTGGCATTCTCTTTCAAGGCCAGTCAAGTTAGTAAAAAAAATAAAAAAACAAATAGAAAAAAAAGACTTATTTCATCAACTACATTATGCCATTATAAAAATGAAAGTCCTCACTTCTGTGGAATTCTTTCTTGCTGGCGTTCTCTCAGAACAGCAATAAATCTCAGTTAACCGTGATCCTTAGAGAATGGGGGATACGTATAATTAAAATTTTGAGATCTCTATTACTCAGAAAACCTGCCATTAAACCTTTTGTTTATATATACTTGAACTATTTAAATTATCTTGTAGCTTTGGAACATGCTGGGACTGTATGGAAAGTTAAGAGAATCTTTTTTTCTTTTTTTGACATAGGATGTTGTCAATATAAACAGCTGTTCTTCTTGCCCAGAACATATAATAGGGATGAAAGTTTGAGTGAATTTGTGTGTATTCCAGAACCTGCCAGATCATAAATGTCCTTTAATCCTCTAGTTTATGGTTTTATGATGATGCCTTTCTTCCTTCAAAATGTTACTGGTACACCAGTCCCAGTAATCGGGAACTGTGGCAAGAACACCCACATTATTTCATGTATTCGTTGCCAGCCAACAGAGGGAAAATAGCAAGAGCAGGCCTGATTCTGCCTGTTTCAAAGTGACCACTGGCTGAGAGCCAAAGATGATATGGGAGTTCTCCGTAGTCACACAATGAGCTAGTGACACAGCCAGAGATAGATTCCAGGTCACCAAGCTGGGTCACCTGCCCAGGGTATGTCTACTTCACTACCAGTTGGGACACCTCAACTTCCATCATTAAAGAGTATACCTTGATGCCTTGACTACCTGTTAACAAACCTCTCCTGAGCCAGAGGAGGTAACTCCTGCAGTTGTTATTGACCATGCCCACCTGAGAGGGGATGCTAATAGTTAAGGCTACGGTCCTAGAGAACAAAGTGCAGAGACATGCAAAGTGGGAAAAGGCACTTGGGTAAGAGGGGAATAGGACATCCGAATTGGGGCGTGGGGGTGCAGAAATGAACTTAAACTTTTCTCAGAGACCATATAGCATGTGGTATGTCTCACCATGTCCCTTCTCTTCCCTTTTGGACCCCCAACATCCTGTAGAAAATTCTGGAGCTTCTCTCAGGACTGCTCCAAACTATAGGCATTTTGGCCCAACGAGGTTCTCCATCTCTCGCCCTTTTTCCTAGGTAGCAGGTATCAAAGGGATATTCCTGGCAAACAAGAAGGTGGACGACCAGGTGAAGACATACATCACTTACAACAAGGGCAGGGATTGGCGCCTACTGCAAGCTCCAGATGTGGACCTGAGAGGAAGCCCGGTGCACTGCCTGCTGGTCAGTCGCCCAGCCTCCTGTGAAGTCCACAGGGAAGGCTGGTTACCTGAGATGCTGCCTCCGGGGCTTTCTTCCATCAGGGGTCTCTAGGAGCTGGGCTGGTACTGGGCAGGGATTTCCCAGAACTCCCAGGGTATTGATCTGTGGGCTCAGACTTTCAAACTGCTTAGATGAAAAGTTCAGTTGAATGCCAGAGGATTTTACTGAGAAAATATTATGTGATCTAACTCTTAGTAAGATAAAGAAATATACAAGAGAAAGTACTTGTGTTCCAGGGTCCCAGACAGCTCAGTAGTGGCAACACACCTCTTAATTGATGCTGATAGGATACAGTTTGATAAGTGTTTGTTGGATGTCAATGTAAGCAAAAGGTGCATTGGAAGCCCAGGAAAGGTCAGGCTGGTATGGCCACATGGAGTAGTTAATCTGTCAGCATCCCCAGGGTGGCAGCTGTATGGAATATTAGGGTAGGAGCTATGAAGGACAAGATGTATAAGAGGCTGTATCTGCCCTCTGGTGCTTACAGCTCTAGGTGGGGACCGAAGACAGATAATTAACAGTGACATTCACAACCCTCAGTGCCATCTTAAAGAGGACCTATGTGACAACAGTGTGGTGGTTACTAGAGGGAAGGGGATTGGGGAAGTTAGAGGTGGAGGGGGAGCTAATGCAGTGCAATATATAGATCCAGTACCATAGAAATGTACACTCGAAACCTATGTGATATTACCACCCAATGTCACCCCAATAAATTTAATAAAAATTAAAGAAAAAAAATTTAAGGAAATTCTTTTAAGGTCCTAGAAATGGTGGTTTCTGCTTAGCCAAAAAAAGTTACCTGTTGCCACTTATTTAAAGGGTTTATTAACCACTGAATCTTATTGTAGACATTATTTTTAAAACTGGAGATATAATGGTAAATAGGGCAAACATGGCCTTTCCCCTTTTGTAGTATCAGTCCGACACCATGTTTTTTGCCTGAGGGTACTGGGAATGTCAAAGACAAATACCTATCTATTTCTAAAAACTGGTCACAACATAGTTTTTCCTCCAAACCTTACCCATGACTTCATCTTATTTTTTTAACCTAATTCTCTACTTACCCAATTCCATAATTTTCATATTTTTATTCATTACATAAAACTATATTAAACATCCCTATAAATTATCTTAAAAAACACACAGGTAGGGATAAATAAGTAAATGAGTATGGGACACAAATTTGCATGAGTTTTAGGTAATGGCTTCAAATATTTTAAGTAAAATTCATGTGAAATGTTAAACAGGAACCAAATACATAAAGCAGAAACAGAGATAATCTGGTTGAAAAAGAAGGTAGAAGGACTTAGCTTCCCCATGTCAGTTCTCTGAGGGGGTCCCTCGGAGCACTAAGGAGCAGAGTGTGATGACCAGGATCAAATATGGGAGTAGGTCAGTGTCATCTGGTGACAAGGAACAGTCAGGGAGGTTCCATAAAGCCAGCCATGTCCTGGATCTTGATGGACGGGGTAGGGGTGAGGAAGAGAGGGGGGAGCAGACAGCGTGGTGGGAGCGGGGCCAGGCGCTAGGGCAGCTCCCGATGTGACCCTATCGGCCATCTCCGGTGGAGAGGACTCCCGCCCAAACCTATGTGTGTGTCTCACATCCAAACCTTACTTCTTCTGGAAGCCTAACATCTGGTGAGGTAGAGGCATCTGTCAGGAGTCGCCTGGAATAATGCCATTTCTTCTTTCTCCCTTGTAGCCCTTCTGCTCCTTACACCTGCACTTGCAGACCTCTGAAAATCCGTATTCCTCAGGAAGAATCTCGAGCAAGGCGACAGCACCAGGACTTGTGGTGGCAACAGGTAAGAAAGGTGTTCCCTGGGCTGCTTCTTCACCGAGGGCTGCTGGATCATGTTTCTCATTTCTTTGGATTCATTTGCTCCCCGGATAAGAGCTATGGGCCCTCTCCCTGGGACATAGGCAGGGTACCGGGGTCCCCAAGGCCATTGTAATAACCCAGGAAAAGAGCTCCAGATGCTTTTAACTTCTAGATGAGTGTCCCATCCCTCAGTCACAGAGCAGTCTTCTCAAAGTAAACTGACTGCTCAGAAAGATTATTTGTAATAGGGAATTCTCACTTTAAGAAAATGTGGCCTATGAACTTTCTAGCTCACCAAATACAAGTTGGCGTAGTGCTCTCTTTACACAGAGGATTCTTTGCAAAGGGTTTCATCCCCAAGCTCTTTTTCATTATGAGGTCTCCGGTGCATGGAAAGGTTTGTTTGCGCATGATTAACACTTGGCTGAGAGCCTAGGGGAAAAGGCCTGGAAAACCTAAGGTTGCATTGTTGGAACCAGTGTCCACTGAGCATCAATCAGAAATGAAGATAAAGCAACTCGGAAATGAAAAGGAAGGTCTCCAGGGAAGACGTTCTGATTAGCATGCTTTTGATTTACATATACCTTCTCAGGAATACATTGATGGCATAAAGTGAGGCAGGCTTCTAATCTTAGAAGTTAGAGCCCTGGTGTTAGGCAGCTTTTCACTAATGAAAGCAGATAAATTCACAGTGACTTTCTGAGGTGGCACATTCTGTTCTTTCTCATCAACCCGAAGCTCTGCCCCTGCACTGACTGCTCTTCTAGACATGGCTTCATTGCCCAAGCCTTCAACTGTGTGAACTTTAAATACCACCAGTACCCAACCAATCTAATCAGATTGACAACCAGTGTAGCCTTCTGGCATTCCTGTCAACTTCTCTCAGCCCCATAGGGTTGGGCTCACAGTGTTTAGCGGCACTGGCTGCAGAGAGCTCGGGACAGTGAGAGAGGAGGGCAGGCTCTGTTGCTGTTCTCCTGGGTTGGGAAGGCCATCTGCACCCTGTAATGCATGTGGGTACACCTCCCGACTCTGGGGCTGCTATACTCTCCACCTCTCTCAAGATCTATAGGAGGCCCTGCACTGGAGTAGGAGCAACACTAAAAAACTATAACCCATAATAAAAGCTCATGATATTTAAATGCGTATGTACTATGCAGCCAGGCTTTGTTCTATGTGGCCTCACTATTCTGAACTTCAGTGTTTTCATTGGCAAAGTGGGAATAATAGTAGTGACAGAATTGGAGGACTCAATGAAGCAATGGATTTAAAGTGCTCAGAACAGTGCCTAGGATATATTGTGTCCACAATACATGTAACCTATTATCATTAATCTTACAGAATTTAAAACCACTGTTTTTGCAACAGAAGAAGGCGATTTGCTCATCTCCTTCAATAGAACCCATCAATCATACGTGTACCCTTTGCATACACTGAGGGAATGAATATACTCGTTAGCCCTGTTGTCCTGCTTCACAGGCTGAGCTCTGACCCTTACCAGCTTCATGAATTTGGCTTCATTCTTTCACCACTGAGCTTTGTTTTCCTCATCTGTAAAACAGGAATGCTTTCTATTTTGTAAGGGTGATCAGGAATTAGAGATGGAAGAGTGTGTCTGCACAACCCAGCCAAGTGCTAAGAGCACAGTGTGAGGAGTTACCAGTAGTTGTTATTGCCTGCGGCCAGCACATACCTCTAAATTAGTCTAATGCTAAGGCTTTATAAATGAACGAATAAGCAGACATTAGAGATTTGGTTTTTATTTTTTTATCTGAACATATCAGAATTAACTAATTTATTTTTCTCTCCCCTTTGTAACTCTTGTAACTTTGTATGGCTTTTTGCTTGACCGTGGGATGTTGGAGGGATATAGCCTGGCTGACCAGATCCTGATGAAAAGACAGAGTTAGATCACTGGAACATGACTCCTTATACCTCAGTCTCTCCTTATCCTGCGTTCCAGCTCTCTCTGTGAGATTATTTGCTGTCAAATCATTACAAAGTTAGCCAAGCGTTGTTTCAGTGGCCCACATAGAGCCTGTCTCTCCAGGGTCTTTTCCTACATCCGTACATTTCTTCTGCCTTCAGGTGTCAGTGACCCTGGGTTCTCTCCTCTCCACTCCTGTTACTCACTGCCTCTTCCCATCACTCATTGAGATGTGATCTCAGGGAAGCTCTGTGGATAAAAGTATACCCCTGGATTCATCTCTAATTCCCCATCGAGGCCATCTCAGAAGGCATATGGAATTCCAGCCTGGAGAGTTTGATACTTGCCTTTAGCAAGCAGACATACGAGGGTTCCTAATATCCTTATCACTGTGGTTTCAAGCTTGTACTCAAGACTTTACATCTTTACAGTGCCCTGCAGTATGCAAAGCACTTTCCCTGCCTTGATTATACAAGGACCCTATCATGTAGGAAAGGCTATTATCTTTCTCCTCAGTTAACCGATCAAGAGATGAAGGACAAAGTGGAAGAAGTGTCGTGCCCAAGTCCACATTCCCTATGGCTCCAAGGCTATACTGTCCAGTAACCATTCAACCACTCCTAGACCTGAACCCCTTCAGGTACCAGCTCCACAATGACCCTGGGCTCCCTGACATGCTTCCTATAAACTCTGAATGTTCAAACCCTAGTGTTATCCCTCCACGGAGACACTTTCCCTCCCTGCCCCTCCTCCTCTAAGCCCTCAACTGCCTGGCATAGGCAATGGTGAGAGAAGCATCTCTATCTCCAGAGGACTCCAAATTCTTCTATGTCTCTCTCACTCTCATCTCTCTCCCCCTTTCCACATTTCCCCCCCCCCCAAGTTTTTAAAGAGCACAAAAGGGTAGCCCTGGAAGAATTAGGGGGAGGGAGTGATAAAAGCAAGTTGTTAGAGCTGCTTATAAATACAGTGATGAACCTCCATGATTTACCAGCTAAGCTATTGGTGAGAGATGCTCCTAATTCTCCATCTCATACCTCCTTCCTCCCTCCTGTCACACCACTTCACTGGGGAACAGCTACACCTTCCAAACTGGCCAGGAGCTGGCTGCTTTGGTAAGCCTCTTCAGTTCTATTTTAGCCAGTGAGGCGCATTGTTCAAATCTTTTTCTGACACCATAACCCAAACTCTTCCTGTCAGAGATTTCCCACTGGGCCAGTTAGGGACTGAATATGTTCAAAGATCAAATCATCCTGGATGCATTCTTTGTGTCCCTTCATCTAGGAATCGACTTTTTGGTCTCTGTGATCAGCAGCATTTCTTTCAGGGCTCCTTCCAATTGACAGGAGATATTTCCAAAAACAGCTTCATTGTTAGCCTTGGATTCTTACCACCATGAAGTCTCGACAATCAGTTAAGCTTTGAAAGAGAGTCTGAGGACGTTGGCAGAACTAGTTTTTAAAGAGGGTAAAAGGTGATGAGACAGATCCTAGGAACCTACAACAGGGATGACAGATTTGAGCCCTAGGATCTCTCTTTCTCCCTCCTACCCTTTCTGTCCCCTACCCATCATTAGTAATGATTAGACATTACTAATCAATCACCACACTCTATTCTGTTGAAATCAAATATGGCTTCAGAATACTTATTAGTACTATGTCCCAGGCAACCCTCACCCAACAACTCTAGTTGGTTTTCTCTGCCCCATCCTTCTTATCATTATCTGTATCTTCCAAAACCTATATCTGGAGAATGGAATTCCAAGTCCCAGATAGAATATCCCCAGCACTGCCTACCATGCCTTTCCCCACTTCACTTGCTCCTACTGTTTGAGCCCTGAGCCTCAGGGTTATTTTTGGAAGCCTGAGTGTCAAAACAAATAGGCTGTGTGCTCCTGATGCTGATAGGGGTTTGACAAGCCGTAGCCCGGTTTTAATTTCTCATTTTGAAACATTAAATGTCAGGAGCTCAATTAACATTTTCATTATTGCATTTTTATTGTCCTCTTATTTAGGCTACAGATGAGTGGGAGCCAACATTCCCTTCCTGCTTTTTCCCCCCCTTCATACTTTTTTTTTAAAGGAAAAAAATAATCAGTCAAAATGATAAATTCTTATATGTTTAGGGTACTTTCCTGATTATCAATACCTCCCCAAATGCACATCAACATTGGAACATGGTTCAATCATTTGGCTACTCATTCATTCATTCCACAATTAATTATTGGGCAACTAACTACTGCGCTTGGGACATTGTTCTGGTCTCTAAGGGAGGTGGGGTATACACTGGGGACACTTGGGAAATACAGATAAACTAGAAAATACCAGTCACTTTCTTTTATAATAAATATAACCCCAAGGTAATGAAATGCCAGAGTAAGAAAAAGGAGAGGAGAAAAGGCGGGATAGAGACAGTTAGTGTAGTCTGTCTAGGCATAAATGAGGTGACTTCTTTACCTGCCATGCTTGATGGCATGGCCTGCTAAGTATAGTTGTCTTATTCTGGGCACTCTACAATTTAGGTTACATAGTTTGTACTGTTAGGTCACTCAGCTGCCTTGCCCCTCAAAGAGACTTGACAAGTTAAAGTTGGAAACACAGCCCTGGCCAGGTAGCTCAGTTGGTTGGAGCATCTGCATCAGTGTTGTGGGTGTGATTTCTGTTCAGGGCACATATAATAGAAGCATCAACTAATGAATGTGTGAATGAATGGAACAACAAGTCTATGTTTCTCTCTCTCCTCCGCACCCCCGCACTCCCATCTCCCTCACACGCCCCTTCCTCTTTCTCTATAGAATCAATATATACATTTTTTTAAAGGTTGGGTTGGGCACACACATGGAGACAAACACACACACACACACACACACACACACACACACACACACACACACACACCAGTTTTTCTTAGACTAAAATATATGTAAGGCGAAAGGTGTCCCTAGGCCCAGCTTCTCTATTCATGTCAACTCTTCCACTCTTTGCCACCTTCAGGGAGCACCTGTCAAGATCAATCTTTAAGAGATTATTGGTATACAGAATGAATAGTTCAAGAGATCCAAACTAATCAGTATACGGTCTTTGAGTTTTTCCATTCAAAGATTCATTTCTGTCATATTTTTTACTTTTTTCTCATATTGGGTTTATGTTCTTGCTGGGTTTTTGATAGGATGCCAAGAAAGAAACTGTACAAATCAACTCTAGACATCACTTGGAAAACCTATACTCACTGTTCCCCTCTCCCCTAACGCCAAGTACCTATAATCTATAAACTGCCTCATCGTTTCAAATACTCTGCTTATGTTTCAGGCAACATTGGCCCGGAGCTCTCATATACTGACATCAGTGTGTTCATCTCTTCTGATGGAGGCAACACATGGAGACAGGTAACTGGGAGATCCAGAGACAGGCAAGAGGGATTTAAGGCAATTTCTGATAACATCTTACCTTCCTATAGATTCTCATGCTCATTATGACTTTGTGGTTGCAAAGAAATGGAAAAAGCTATTCAGTTTGGTCCTTTGGGTTGTCGGATTAGATGACCAATGGGGTCAAGTGAAATGACTGGGCAGGGAATAGGAGAAACTGGAATTCTTCCAATTACTTTATTCTTTTACTCAGCGATACATACAGAACAGTCACTGGATGTGAAGCACTATGCTGGTTGCTAGGGATACAACTGATAAAATGGTTTCTATCATTAATGTGCCATGGGATCTTTGCAAGCAGGTCTCTTAATCTTTCTAGATCTGTTTCTTTATCTTCAAGATGAAGGGGATAGAATACTAAACCAGCAAAATTGTGGAAGCCTGTGATTAAGTATTGTGTAGGTTATGCCATAAGTGAGTATGAAACAGCTGCACAGATACATGACTGCATGGACAAATAATTCAGTTGTACAAACATTTGGAGCAGTGCTGTCCAATAAAACTTTCGGCAGTGATGAAAATGTTCTGTATCTGTTTTGTCCCTGTGGTTACTGAGCACTTGAAATGTGGCTAATGTGACGGAGGAGCTGAATTTTAAATTGTATTTGTTTTAATCAATCTAAATTTAAATAGTCTCATGTGGCTACTCTATTGGACAACACAGATTTATACAATGCCAACTAGGTATCAAGTACAGAATTGAAAAGGCAGTTGAATTCTTCAGATTTCTTTCCTCAAGGAGATCAAAATTAAGTAGTAGAAATGGGCTCATAAATAACTAGAGCTTAGGGTGAATGCATTATTTTAGTAGCATTATTAGCATGTAGAGAAAAGAAAGTTGTTCTACTTGGGAAAATTGGGGAAGACTTCACAGGAACAGCTGACATTTTATTAAGTTTTAAAGGTAAGAAGGTTTCTACCTGGGTAAGAAACAGGAAGAGCATAGAATATCTTGATGATGAAGGTGAAGTCACAATCTTAAATCTGATTGGATAAGATTATCATCACTATCATCAACATCATCACCACCCCTATTACCATAGTTGTCACCATTACCACTAATAAGAAAATTTACCGAGGGCTTACTAGACACAACCAAGTACTTCAAGATATACAACAAAAATTATGTTTAGGTTCCTGCTTGCCAGGCCATAATCAGATGGATGAGGAACAGACACAAAAATGAAAACATACCTTCAAAAGATAAGATAATCTGTTAAAAGAACCCAGTGAAGATAGAAGCTTGGATGCAAACTCTGGTATAGAAACTCCAAACAGACAAGCCATTATCCCTCCAACTCAAGGAATAGCTCATCTCACCAAGTGGTGACTGCAACATTTCATCCTTGTGCTGTCACTACTTTGTTTTTTTCCCTGCTCCCAAACAGCTAAGGGTTCCAGTTTCTACTCCAGTGCTGAACAGGACAAGAGAGGGTAGTGGCCAGAACGGTAGTATTGAGAGGAAAGTGTGAGCATAACAACTTCTCTCTCCTCTCCAATGCTAAGAATCTCCATTATGTGGCTAATCACAGAGCCCACCTATGAGATCTAGAAAGAAAATGCTAGCATTACAGGTTCAGGGTCTTTGTTTATATCCAAAATACAAACAAATTCTCTTTATGTCCTCTGTGCATTAGCACTCACCCTGAGTATGGACATTCTTTTTTCATTTAAAATCAAATATGGGGAAGAAAACCAACTGAGAACCCACTTTTTTTTTCTGTAGTGTTTCTGAGCCATGTGTGAAAAAGGCCCCGTTCCTCCTGGTATTACCTCCCTTTCAAACCTGCCCATTTCTTCTTACTCCTTCTGGTACTTCTCACTTAACCCACCGGTGAGCTCAACCTCTCCATCCTGTCTGCAAGAAGCACCGTTAATGCTAGAAAGCTAGAGGGATTCTTCAATTCCACTTTTGTCTAGAAGATTTAAAGTAGGGGATTGGTTCTCTGCTGGTGAAATGTCTTTTCTTATTTCAGGTTGGAGATATGAAAGTCATATGTACTAGAAACATTGCAATATGTGGGATTAAGCTAGAAGTTCTCTTAGCTAAGTGCCTTGCATTATAGTAGACGCTTAGTAAATGCTTTTGTTGATGGATGGATGGGTTGCTGAATGAGTGAGTGAATGGTTGAATAAGTGATAGGCAAATGGATAAATCAAATAATGAATTACTTTTGGTCCCTGGGAGTACTATGTTTCATTGAGCATTTAGTGTAAAGAGCCACAAGCACAAGACTTAGGTCTTCATCCATCTTGCAGGGAGACCTAGGAGGTGGAGTTAAGTCTAAGAACTCAGTCATCATGTATGTGATAATTCCTAAAGGGAAGTCTTATCTTCCTAGATAATTATACACAACACTATAAGACCCAGACCATGTATAAATTAGCCAACATCTGAATAGTTGAGGAATAAGAGAACTGAGTAGTAGCCTACCAAAATAAAGATGGGGAAGCTTTATTAGTCATATTTTCCTTTGGGTTATATAGTTGAACATATATCTTGTTGCCTCCCTTCTTGTAGAGCACTGGTTCACAGCACTAGTGGGAAGAGCCATGGAAAAGTCATTTCCTTAGCCTAGGGAGGGTTATTTGTTTTCTGCAAGCCCATTTCCTGAACTATTAAACGCAGGTGATAGTACCTGCCAAATTGCCTGACAGGGATGTTGAAAGAAGAAACAATGTATGTGAAAGACTTTGTAAACTGGAAAGTACTATGCAAATATAAGGTGTTGCTATGATTGTTGTTGTTGTTGTTGTTCCAGATCTTTGATGAAGAGTACAATGTCTGGTTCCTAGACTGGGGTGGCGCCCTGGTGGCCATGAAGCACACACCTCTGCCAGTCAGGCATTTGTGGTAAGGACAGCTCCCTGCTCTATTAATGAGCAACTTTATAGTGGAAAGAATTGGGACAAGTTATTCTGCATGGTTTTGTGCCTACTTATGCACTTCCTTATCCATTTATTCATCCACCCATCCATTTAATATACATTGCATTATCTAACTCTTAGGTGGAAGTGGTAGGCCAGGTAATTTAGGTGGGGAAATATGATGTATAGAGTGGGATGGTAAAAATGCTGCTCAGATAAGGCAAAAAAAAAAAAAAAAAAGGAGCAAGAATAACCTCTGAGTTCAAACAGACAAGGTTAAGACGTGAAAATACAGGAGATGCAAATTGCTTCAAGAAGAAAGTTAGTGCATGAACTAAGTCCCGACCTAGATAATTTGAGTTTGAGATGTCTATAAATATTCAAGCAGAGATGATCATTAGTTGTCAGATATACTCATCTGAAAATCAGGAGAGAGGCCTGGGCTGACACTCTGGATTTAGATTCGTTTAGTTGTTAGGAGGTAGTTAAAGCCATGGCAGTGGGCTCAGTGCCTCTGGAGAGTGGCTATAACAAGGAACAGCCAGGGACTCCTAAGTAACACTGGTGAACACCAACATGCAGAGCAGGAGAGGAAATTATGGAACAGACTAAGAAGTAGCCAAAAAAATAAAAGCCCAGGAGAAATATTTTCATGTATGCGGAAAGAAGAGGTGATCAATTACAAGAATTCTATAATCAGATAAGTTAATTATAGAGTAGAAACAATCTAGGACTAATCAATATGTCATTGGTGATCTTTGTCAGAGGAGATTCAAAAGAGAGGTGGGGTTAAAAGGTAGATTGCAATAGATTTATGAATCAATGAATCAATGAGTGATAAGCAATGGAGTAACATAGAAAGACTGTAGATAACTCTTCTTAAGAAAGTATATTATAGGATAAAGTTGAATAGATAGAAAGATACACACTCCAGTTAGGACAAGTAGCTGAGTGAGGATATATTATTAAGATGAGGATTTTAATGATGACAGCAATGACGTTGCTGTTGTTGTTTGTTTTGTTTGGGGCAGAGGTGGGATAATTTTCCTGTGTTGGTATCCTGAAGGAAAAGAATTTCAGGTTCAGTTAAGCAAATATTTGAGAGTGAAGATTTGGTGGTAGAGAATATGCTATCTAGAGTACAATTGAGATTGGATTATCCATTGGGTGGAAGTTGGACCCTGTCTTAAATACCAGGTCCATGATTTGTGGAGTAAGAGTTTTTAGAGACTTTTACTGGGAATCATTGGATCGTAATTGGGAAAAGGCATGAGATCCCCCATCTGTCAGTCTGGCCATTTATTAAGTTAAACCATATGAAATTGGCATTTTTGGAAGTCAAAAATGGTGAAATATTGTCAGCTCCTTAGAGCTCAACCTAGCATAAAGTAAAATGGTAACGCCTACCACTATATCTTTCTAGAAAGAGATTGTGTGAATAGATTTTAAACATATTCCTGGAGTTTGTAAGAAAAATGTTCTATCTACTCAAGAATGAGCTTATAAAAGTTCCCAATGTAATTGTTTATCACCTTTTTACTACTGAGCATATACTTCTTGGGTAGTTTTGGAGGAGTGGGATTAGGTGGCATTAATGATAATCAGCATTTACTGATACTGTTCTAAATCTTTACATGAATTATCTCTGGAAACAATCCTATGTATGTGAGTATTCTTTTTATCACATATTTACAGTGCCATTGAAATGGAGACATATTAAATACCTTGCTCAAGGCTGCACAGTTAGTATCAGGCAGCCCCAAGTTCAGTCTCTGTAATGGATGCCCTTCTGTTTTAATGACTAATCTCTCAGATACTTTATGAGTACACAGAGGCTTACCACATGGCCCTGGCTTCTGGGAGATCATAGTCAAGGAGTTTACATAGTCCATATATTACTTCCAAAAGGAGCACTTGTCTGGGAATTGAGGGAAACAATCTAAGGTGGGAATGTTATTTAATATTCACTCAGGGATATGTAAGTAGGATCAAATCACCGCTTTCAAAGTCGTCAGTGTTGAGTTCTCTTTGGTTCTATGATGTATCTCTTCTGTTGGTGAAAAAATAATGATAAAGCTCAGTAAAAATAAACCACTGAGTTACCTCTGATAATAATAATGATAATAATACCCTCCATTTGCTCCCCTACTCCAACTTGCATAGTATTAAACATAATTTTTCAAACTCAGCTTCTGAGACAGCATTTTCTGCATATAAAAGATATTGACACTGTCATTTGTCATAAATGCTGCACATTTCCCAGAACTTGGATACCACCCACGATTTCTGCTTACTTGCTTATCTAAAATCACACCTCCAGTGGTTAAACGCCAGCTATTGAGTGTGCTAGAAAACAAACACAAATAATTCATTCAGGAATTCTCCTTTGAACTTCTGTTTCAGAGGCTAAGTGAAGGTTTTATAAGGGCTTGACCATATCATTATCATCAATGTTTCCTTAAGAAATTCTTGACTTATTTTTTCTCCTGCTTATGAATTGCAAGCTTGTGAAACTCAAACATAGTTTCCTCATTACCAGCAGTTTCTAATAAAGTCATAACCTTCAAGATAAGCACACAGCTCATTTTAAGTGGAAGAAAGGTTTAAGTAATCACTTCATTGTTATTTTCTATTGTATGACGCAGACTGATGTTATTTTGTATACAGATGTATTGTCTATGGCCATACCACCCTGAATATGCCTAATCTCTTCTGTATACAGATGTATACACATTTGCATAGGAAAAAGACACCAGCCTACCTACCTACTCTCACATAAGAGTATTGTGGCTCTCAAATTTAAATAATAGCTACATTACCTTTCAGAGGAAATAGGAGTCATAACTGAAAACTGGGAGAAACTTTAGCTAGGCTAACAAGGCATGCTGTTTCCTATAAATTGAAATGATAGGGAGCTAGATATGCATGAAGACAAAAAAGCATACAAATGAACTCATCTATTTGTGACCATGTACATTTGGATGCATAGAGATTAGCATGTAAGTGCTTTTTAAGGTTATCCTTCCAGCCAGGACTACCTTTGTGCCTTAGAAGCATTAGAGTGAACAGTGGAGCCCCATGGAATCAGCGTTTTAGTGAAACCTTTGGCAGGTAGACTGGGATCCTACCATTTGCTTAGCTCTGACAAGTTGTTTCTCCTTTCATTAGGATGTTTTTGGAAACTGAAAGCAAAACATTACCTGGCCTTTTTTGTTTCTCTAGTCCTATATAAATGATTGTGAGCACCAGCTTTTTGCTCAGCAAAACATTCATACAAAAACAATAGTTCCAGTTAATATGTATCCCCAAGAAGGGAAAGGCACGTGTTATTCTGAAGACATTCCAGGTGGATGAAATGCTACCACCTCATGCTTTGTGATAAAATAGAACAGTACACCTTACTGAAGGAAGGAACACTGGTTCTCAATGACCACTATAACTATTTCTGTGCTACAGACTTCTGGGGAGGGCTCTGGTTGTTCCTGGAAAATTCTGTTCCATTTTAATGGATCTTATCTCAATATCATAAAAAGTTATAGACACATGAAGCAAGGCGGAGTTTTAGAAGATAACTCTGTGACACCTAAGAGGGTCAGTCTACTTCATCAGAATACCAGAGTGCTGACCAACTTGCAAATACATAAGACAGAGGGTTCCCATCTTATATAATGTCTTTAGTTTGTTAGAAAGATTTTTTTTTTATATTGAGCAATAATGAACCTACTTGTAATTTTTGTCCATCAGCTCCTGTTCTGCTGGACAGATTTATGCAGAATGTTTGCTCTAGAACTGCATGTGATTTTTAGAGTTGTGGAAAGGACCACAGTTAGAAAGGACCTCAGGAGATTTCTTTGTCTAGTCTCTATAAGTTCTGGAAAATGAATAGATATGCAACTCAAGACATATTCTGTGCATTTTTCATTTATTCCTTACATATTGATTGAGCATGTACTATTTATACACCATTAGTATAAGTGTTAGTTTATACTAATAAACAAAAGATATAGTTGGGACCTTATATTCTTATATATAAATATTTGACTCTGCTCTTTAGAAGAATTACGAGAAAGGAAATATTGTCTCCCTTATTCTATCTGTATTTTTAACTTATATTTTCATGTGTTTAACTATATTTTCTCAAATTTTTTTCAAAGACACCTATTTTCAGTAGTCAACAAATACGGTTGTTTTTGTTTGCTTGTTTGACTATTTGAAAGCTTTCTTACTAAAAAAAATTATAAGGCAATGATAATTAATTCAGTTCTATTCTCTTTCCTAAGCTATCTCCAATTTATATAACCTCTTTCTAGAACAACCTGTTTTTTACCATTAATCACATTAATTGCCACTTTTCTACAAGGATCAAAACTAGCCATAGTATTTAGGATCTGCTAGAATGATCATTTATTTTATTATGCATATTATCTATGTGTGAACACATGCTAGAATCAGTGGCTTGATAACCTCTCATAGTAGTGACATTTCTTGGAAATGTTCACCTTGAGTTGAGACTCACAATGACCCTGTTTTTATTTCTTTTTTTTGTTTTTTGTTTGATTTATTTATTTTTTCTTGAGCTTATCATTAGTTACCATTTTCCTTTTCCTAACTGTGTGCCTTTTTGTTTAAAAAAAATAGGCATTAGGCTTGAATTTGGTTTTACCTTATAGGTGACTTCTAAATCCACATTCCTGGCTATGGTCACTCCCCAGAAACCCAGATCCATCCATCCAAATGTCTCCTTGACTGTTACAATAAGGAAGTCCAAAAAGCATCTAAAGTGATGTAGACCAAACAGAAACAAATGAACAAAAAGCTTTGCTTCTCTATTTCAGTTGCTCAACTGCCACCCCCCTGCCCCCACAAATCCATGTTGTCCATGATTTCTTTCTTTTGCTCAATCTGTATGTATTCTGTCATTAACCCTGTTTACTTCATCTCTAAAAATATCCTAAGTCTTTCCATATCTTTCTATCTCCTCTATTTATAACCTTTGTTCAAATGTCGTCTCTTGGTTGGCTTCTGACAATTCCCAAACCTTCCCCCAAGTTGTCTTCTTGCATTCACTTTGGTCCCCGAAAATCCACTCATCAAAGAAATAAAAGTCATATTCTAAAGTTTAAATCAAATAATATCTTCCCCGCTTCAACTGGAAGAAAGTCCTTTCTTTTTTTCTTTTTTGACTTCATTTCCTTCTGCTAATTTCCTTTTCCACTAATCTACAACTGCTGATCATTTTTCTGTTCTTCCCTTACAGCAACTTCATTTCACATTAGCTCTTCTTCCCTCTGGAATGACTCTTACCTTAATCTTTGCACAGGTTTTTCCTTATTATCATTCAGATTTTAGTTTAAATGTCACCTCCTCAGAGGGAACTTCCTTAAATTTCCCATACAAAGTATGTCTTCAGTCACTCTGCATCACATCACTCTATTTTAATTGTCTTCACGACACTTTTTTCTCACTCACATTTTTGTATCCATTTACCTGCACATTGTCTGTCTCCTCAAACTAGAATGTAAGTTCCTCTGAAGCTAGGGCCTTCCCTTTCTTGTTCACTGCCATATCTCTGGAACAAGAGGGTAGTGCCAGAGCTGTCACATAATAGGCATCAATGAACTGTGATAAATTAATTTTATTTTATTTGGACTTTGTAGTCGTGTCTTGCCATTATTTGGAGGCCAATTATAACTTTACTGCTGCCTCCCTGATTATTGGCAATCCTACCAGTTTCAATTTCACCTGGGGACCTAATAAGGGATTCCTAATTCCTTTGTCTTGGCCATTAATGAGCTATTGAACTGAGGAGGAGAAGGTGGATCTCATGGGGATGCCATTCAATATAGTTACTTCAGAACATTTAAAAACTCCTAGTCATCGAAAGGAATCACTTTAATGAATGTCAAGTCACTCAGATCCACATTTCTGATACTCAAGAGGTATAATTTTTAAAATATATTTTTTGGAGTTTCTTTAGGAGATTTTTTTGTTTGTTTATTTGTTTTTAATAATTAGTCATGTGTTAGGAATTACTGATCTCAGAAAGACAGCTGAATGGCATGATCTTGTGTGTCCAGTGGTACAGTGACCATAAAGGTGGGGTGATAGGATTCACCCCTCACGCAGACTCTGGAGACCTCTCCATTGGCTTATGCTTATCTTATATCATCTTTGCACGTTGATTATTGTGTATAGCTTTCCCACATGGATTTTGGCATTTCTCATTTTTCCTGCTCATCTCAGCCTTCCCTCTAACCCATGCTTCTGCTCCTTCCATGTGGATTCAGTTTATACAGCTGGGCTTTTATCTGCTACCATTTCTCTATTTGTCTCTGGCTTAGATTTTCTTTGGAGCTTCCATTTTTGAGCTAGAAGGCTGTAATGGCCCCTCCAGGTCTACTCTGTGGTGACTTCTCTTCATGTATAATGTAAAGATGACTATTCTCTATCCTTTTTTTTTTTATCCTCACCCAAGGACATTTTTTTCATTGCCTTTTTTTTTTTAATAGAGAAGAAGAGAGGAAGCGGGGGGTGGGAGTGGTGCAGAGAGAGAGAGAGAGAGAGAGAGAAACATCAATGTGAAAAAGAGACATTAATTGGTTGCTTTCTCTTATGCTCCCTGACCAGAGATTGAACCCATAAACTGGGCATGTGCCCTGACTGAGAATCAAACCTGTGACCTTTCAGTCTACTGGACAATGCTCCAACCAACTGAGCCACACTGGCCAGGGCTGCCCTTCTATTAATGTCAGTGTTATGAAGGCTCTTCCTTCCCTGGGATGCTGGTGACACTAACAGCAATTTGTTCTTCTAGTGTTAATAATTGACCTTCATGGGTAAAGAAATTCTAGGAATGAGAAAAGGACAGAGGCCTTCAGCTCACTTTGGCTTTTTTCTATCAAGACAATAATCAATTTATTCAAAGTCACAAAAACTAACAAATAAGAAATTAAACATTTCTCTTTTTTCTTTACTTCCTAGACTTGCCTGCCACACAGTGTTAACTAGTTAGTGGCCATGGCACATTCTGAAACAACTATGATTAATTTAGGAACCAAGATGATATGTGGCAAAAAAAGGTCAAAAACATTCTGAATCATGCTTTTGTTTTCACTGTTGCAATGAGAACTTCATTTCCAAGAAAAGCAGTGAAGATCTCACCAGCTTTGTCTGAGTCAGCTTAGATGACTATTTAGCCTTTAGACTATAAAAAAAAAACCCCTAAAATGACCAAGTCCTTAAAAGTCAAGACAGTATTATTAACTATCATCATCATGCTTTACACATTTGGTGTTCAACACTTATTCATCTTACATAACTGAAACTTTGTACCCTTTGACCAATATCTCCTTTCTCCCTTCTTCCTCCCTACAATCCCCTGAAACCAGCTTGACTGTAGTGATCTTTCCTGTGTGTGTGTATGTGTATGTATATATATAATATATATAAATTATATATAATTATATACTTTAAATATAAGTGATTTTATATGTTAAAGGTATCTCAGTAAAGTTTTTTAAAGTCAAAGCATATGCTGATAATTTAGGCACCCATAAAACTTTTATGACCAACTTTCTTCTTCTTTTTGTCTGAATATAGACCTAGGTACACCGTAAATACAGAAATTGTCTGAGAGACTAATTGTTCTAGTTTTAAAGAGATTGACTTCCTAATTCTTTTTAATCAATATATTGGGGAAATAAGGATAAGGCAGTGAGAAAAAGAAAGAGAAAGATGCTGAGAGAGTCAAAGAAGTAAATAAATGAAGAACAGACTGAGTAGGTTGATTATAAGGGGGAAGAGACTCCCACATCCAGTATATAGATAACAGTAGAAATCATGCTTGAAGAAAATGCTCAGGTGGATTAGAAGAGTGCTCGTAAGCATTCCTTATTTGTTTTATTCATTTACTCATTTAACATTTATATATTACCATGTGCCAATTTTTCCTGCTAAGCACTGGGAATGCAAAAATGAATGCTATGGTCTTTAACCTCAAAGAGTTCACAGTTCATGGGAAAGTCAGACATATTCTTGGATAATGTGTGTGCAGTATCAGGAAAGAAGCATTCTAATATAGACATGTAGGTGGTGTTAAGGGGTCATTCAGTGAACATGACATCCACAACACCCCTGAACTCCCAAGATTATAATGTTGAATTGAGGGATTCAAGATAAGTTAAGAAACCACCACTCAGCATTCTGATAGAAGAAAGCTTGGGTCTTACAGGAAATACAGTTTCTACAGTTGAACTCAAAGAATCCTCTGTTGTGGAGTCAGAGAAAAATTAAAAATTAACCTGGCCAAGAAGAATCTGTCAGGATGAAGCAAATAAAGCTGCCTTGTGGAAGGGGTGTTGGGAAAAGCTTTCCAGAGGAGATGGTCTTTGGGCTGTGTCCTCTGATTAAATCAAGGTCAGGCAAGTACTTGATACCCCTACGAAAGGGAAGGCTGCAAGCCCACCTTCAAAATCAGTCAAGTCCTTAACAGCATTCCTCAAAAAGTTTCTAAAGTCATGTATACGAAGGGCTGGGCCTTCCTCTTACCATTAGATAAAAGATAGCACAATGTTGCCCAGAACATCTCTTAACACTCAATATTCATCCCTAAAAGCCCCTTAAAGTGTCATTGGGGAGGGAAAATGATCCTAACATCCATTCTGAACCACTAGGAAGTTGCTTTTTTAAAGGTATGATCTAAAGACACACACCTCCCCTCCCATAGGGTACACTCAGCACTACTCAATTTATCTGTGTCAAAAACTCCAAGGGCTGAATTGATTGTGCAGTAAATTAAACCTCAGGTTCCATTCTGAGTACTTGAAACGTGACACTCCATCCACTAAGTCTGTTGCTTGGGTTGTTTTTTCCATTCTAATATGTTGAAATATTTCTGCATCCCTATTGTTGTTTCTGCCTGGGATAGGAAATGCAGTTTTGATCAAATCTCATAATAATATGGAGAGATGTTGAAGATTAATGCCTATTGATAATCCAAACTGCCAGAGAGCAAGACAAAGAGAATTGAATAACCTGAACAATGGCTGCAGAAGAGTGTGGTTTTATTCTCATCTGTTGCTTTCCTGTGCTTGTTTCTAACGCAGGGTGAGTTTTGACGAGGGCCACTCCTGGGACAAGTATGCTTTCACTTCAGTTCCTCTCTTTGTGGATGGGGCGCTGGTGGAGGCTGGTGTGGAGAACCAGATCATGACGTGAGTACTTCTTTTGCTTTGGTCAAAAGGAGCCCGGAGACCGGGGGGTCTGCTTTTACCCTCTGAAGCCATTTTTCCTAGGGAACCCTATACTAAAGCACGGCAATCTCTGGGCCAGTGTTTCCTCATCCAGAAAATGGAAATATTTATGCCTGTGCCAATGATCCAGCAGACTACTGACCAGAATAGAGAAGCTAGGCTAATCATTGAAATGTTAAGAGTTCTAATGGAATTTAAATTAGTTTTGAAACAAATTTCCATTCATCCAAAACCCAAGCAAACAGAAAGCTTATTCCTTTACATGACTTCCTCTCTTCCTGAAACATTCCAATAAGAGACTAGGGACAGGGATAGAGGAAGCAAAAAAGTCAACATACTGATGACAGGGAATATTTTAAAAGAAACTCCTATAGTGTATCATGCTCTCACATTCACACTCACATGCTCACATTCACACACTCACACTTATAGTTGTTCTTGTTCCACTTTGGATTAATTTGTTGTGGAAATTTTTGTATACTCCTTTACAATGCAAATAGATGATGAGATATAGATCTTAAAGCTGTAAAAAGCCATGCATTACTTTCTGAATATTTGATACTTTCTGAATGTTCGAATATTCTAAAACTGTATCAAATCTTAATCCCTAAAAAGTTGATCACGTGTGTGTTTGTGTGCATATGTGTATGTAGGGGATATGGGGGCATGGTTATGGTGATCCTATACCAGCCTGAACCACCACCACTTCCCCAACTCCTATCATAACAAATAGACTCTGTTATTAAGCTGTCAAATCCCTTTATTAAGAGCTAAAAATGTTGTATGCCTCTTTGTCTGTACAAGTCATAAGCAGTATTTAAGATAGATCATTAATACTTAAGAGTCTGAAGCTTCATTGTTGATGGATACACAACAGCAATATGTAGCATGAGTTCTAGATGTTCAAAAGCAGTAACATATTTTTTTTCCTGAAGTACAAATGACTCATACTCCAGTTTCTTTACAGAATGAATAAATATTTTGCCTGTTATTAAAATACAAATGATTCAGTAAACATATAGATAAGTATGTATAGTGACTATAAATGCAAGTGTGTATGCATACACATACATAATATTTATTATATTATATATGTATACAGAACACAATATGTAGTACACACACATATGCATACTTCCACATGCACGCAGAGACATCAGAGATAAGAAAGAAATCCCAAGGATCTAGGGTCCTGGAAAGACCTTTGTAAAGTTATATGGTAAAAAAAAAAATTGCTGCTACCTAGTATATGCCAGATATTCTTCTAGATGAACAAATAAGAAACTCTTGTCCTTTTGGAATTTGCATGTTTGTACATTAAATAAATGTGACATAAAAATGGTATGTCACCCAGAATACTCAACCGAGAGATTAAAAGTTGCTCTTATGAATCCCAGGAAGTGAATGGAATCCTAGAAATACCACCATCTTTTTTTTAGGGGGATCTCTGACCATGAGCTGATGCTTCCAAATTATTTCCCATCCTTTACCTAATCACCAGATATACAAGAAAATCTTCATCTTTTTTAAAACTTCCTCTCATGTGGACATCAAATAGTTTAACTTTTGAGTTCTAAATTCTCTAAGGCAAGGTACACACACTCAAAAAGTTTGTGTAGTTTGCTTCAATTTGTCAAGGCAGATGTGGCTGCTCAGCACATTCAAATCAGACACATCCTACCATCCTGGGCAGTGAAGATATACATGGTCCTAAAGTCAGGCATTCCCTGTTTCTGGTCCTCCTTTTATTTTGGTTTCTCCTTACCTCATAATGTGATTTCCCCTGCATTCTCTTCTATGAGGTCTACTTGAACGCATTGCATGCTTCTTTGGGGCATCATTTTGAACAATATTACATGTACTCTAATTTCTATATGACCTGGCATTCCCTAGCAAATTTAAGGCCACAGTTTAAATTCTATGTTCATCTAATGACTAATGTTAATCATTTCTTGTTCTCTCAGCTTTAGATGGAGTTTAGCTGCTCACAGGGATGTAAGGGAAATTGACCTCAGGGCCAAGCTATTTATTGCGAAGACTAGATAACACTCCTATTTCCCTTTCCTCCCACTAAGACTACTCAAGAGTGTGGCAGAGCTTCTACCCCCACTTCTACCTTGCTTATCAGGATATCTTAAATGCCAGTAAGCAGAAAGGGAGCAAGAATAGTGCATAATTTTCTAGTATGAGTTTTGGGACAGAGAAGTATCTGTCCTTTTATAAAATTAAGATGAGTTTGGAAGCAGTCATCCACCCAAGTATTTAACTTTTATTAAATTCAAAATTTCTCTGTTTTTAGCTTTTTATTAAATTCAAAATTTCTCTGTTTTTAACTTTTTATTAAATTCAAAATTTCTCTAGTATGAAAATGATACAAGTTTTTTTCCAGGGCTCTTCACACAGCCAGAGAATGAGCTCTTAAAGAATTGACAGAAGATAATTTCTGTTTCTGTCCTAGAAGGAATTTAAAACCAAGTGGCCCACTAGGTAGAGCTGACCAGTGCTTTTTCTCATTGGCAATGAAAAGAATCATAGCAGGAGTTCAAAAGACTTTTTCTTAGGTTCTCTGGATCTTCCTGATTTATTTTTGGAAGATTGCATGTTTCTAGGAATTTATCCATTTTGTCCACATTGTCCAGTTTGTTGGCATATAATTGTTCATAATATTTTCTTACAGTATTTTGTGTTCCTTTGTTGTTAGTTATAATTTCTCCTCTTTCATTTCTGATTTTATTTATTTGGGTCCTCTCTCTTTTTCTTTCTTCATGAGGCTGGGTAAAAGTTTGTCAATCTTGTTTATCTTTTCAAAGAACCAGCTCTTGGAATCATTGATTTTTTTTTTTGTATCATTTTTTAGACTCTATTTCATTTATTTCTCCTCTAATCTTTATTATTTCTTTCCTTCTACTCACTTTGGGCTTTGATTGTTGTTCTTTTCAAAGTTCCTTTAAGTGTGAAATTAGATCCTTTATTTGAGCGTTTTCTTATTTTTTGAGATAGGCCTGTAATGCTATGAATTCCCCTTTTAGGATTGCTTACCCAGTGTCTCACAGATTGTGGATGGTTGTGTCCTTGTTTTCATTTATTTCAAGGTATCTTTTGATTTCTTCCTTGATCTCATTGTTAACCCATTCATTGTTTAGTAACATGTTATTTAGCTTCCATGACTTCATGCATTTTTCAGTGTTCTTGGATGTTATGTTGTTGATATTCTGGATTTTTATCTGAGTTCCTTTCCAGCTTTAGTGTTGTAGGCTGGAGAGCTTAGCCTAGGGTTTGTTTTTTATTTTTTTTCATTTTTTAAAAAAATTCTTGTTCAAGTACAGTTATCTCCATTTTCCTACCACCGCTTTCCCCTGCCCAGCTTGGGGTTTAGACTCCATGCTTCTCAGGGGGAACCCCCCAGCTGCTGAAATACCCCTCTAGCACATCAGCTGCCACCAATGGGGGCCCAGCCAGCCCTCTCGCTCCTCCTCTGTACTCATTACCAGTTGTGTTGTGGTGAAGTGGTTTCTTGTGTCTGTCCTTTGTTATAAGGCTTTTCTCCAGTTAGTGTTCAGTTGGTTATTTGAGATGCTTTCTCTATAATTTAATTGTAATTCCAGCTTGGCCTGGGAGAAGGTTAGTGTAGCTTCCACTTATACTTCCACCATCTTGAGTCCTTAGGAACTATGAGGACAGGGAGTTCATTTAGGGACAAAATATGTAATCTTGCAATTTAATCAAAAACTTATTAATGATATAAGCTGTTTGAATTCTGTATCTTTCCCTTTGTTGCTAATCTTGACTCAGCTATGGTCCAGGAGAAAAAAAGGTGGTGGTGGGGGGCATATTCACACTGAGGTTTCCTGCCTTATCTTGATAACTAAATGAAGATTTAAATGTTTAGTAGTTTGTGATGTTAGTTTTGTGTGCCAACTTCACTGGGCCATGAGGTGCCTAAATATTTGGTCAAACATTATTATGGGTGTTTTTGTGAAGTTGTTTTTGGATAAGATTAATTTTTAAGTCAGTAGACTGAGTAAAGCAGATTGCTCTCCCTAATGTAAGTGGGCCTTGTCCAATCAGTTGAAGGCCTTAATAGAACAAAAAGTCTCTCCTTTCCTTGAACATAAGAGACTTCTTTCTGCCTGGCTGCCTTTGAACTGGAACATGGTTTATCCTTGCCTATGAGTGGCAACTGAAACATTTACTCTTCCTGAGTCTCAAACCTGGCAGCCTGCAGACTAGAACTCCATTGTCTCTCCTGGGTGTTTAGTCTTCCAGCTCATCCCAAGGATCTTGGAACTTGTACACACACACACACACACACACCCTAGTTATTCTGTTTCTCTGGAGAACCCTGATATACATGTTATTCATTCAGAACCATTTAATAAGCTTCTAATATGTTTTAGACCCTCCTGAGGGATATAAAAGAGATAAATAACTTTATACCTTTATGAAGCTCTCAGGCCAACATGCTATGGGAAGTGGGGATACTTTAATCGTCAAGAAATCCCAGTTCTATAACCAGGATATGAGTAGAGGCAAGTGAAGGCTTCCCACATACAAAAGGTGACAGTTGAGTTGGTCTGGAAGTTTCAATAACAGTTCACTAGTAGAAAATTGATTAAATGTAATAGAATGTAAAGCTTGAAGAAAGCACAAATTTTTAACAGTTTTGTTGAGTACCATAGCCTCAGTACCTATGAGGAGGTTTGGCACTTAACAGGATGTCAGTAATTATTTTTTGAGAGAATAAGTTATTTCAAGGCAAAGGACAGCACACAAACAGAGGAAAAGAACTGTGAAAGAGCACGACTGGGTGTTAAGGGTTGAGACTGTGAAGGGCCTTAGGTTATGTCTCAGAATTTGTCCTGTATCCAGACTGATGTTCTCAAAATTGAAATTAGGATAATGCCATTCCTCTTCTAAAAGCCCTTGGGAGGGTCTTTCCCCTGCATTTAGGATAAAATCCA